TCTGCCTCAGTTCAAAGGCACCGAACTCTTGTAAGGATGAATGACCTACATGTACTATTGATGTCTTGCTTAGTTCTTACAACAGTTTCCCAGTCATGTAATATCTGCTCTTTGATTCTCCCACCTGCATGTATGGGTTAGTGCTGTTGGAATTCTGCAGAGGTCAGACTGTCACAGGTGGTGTGAATGAGATGTGTTACAAAGTGAGAAGAGGAACGGACTAAGAGAAGAAATCTCTTTCCCATTAGTACTTCTAGGAAAAAAAACAAAACAAACAAGCAAACAAAAACATTGTTCTTCCCTAAGAAATTAATTAAATGGGAATGACCTAGGTCAGTTTCACCATAGAACTGACCGTCCAAGTCAGCCACAGAAGGGGTAATTGGCAATGAATCAGTCAGCAAAGAGCATCACTTAAAAAGAACCACAGCCAGTGTGGATCCAAAGGCCAGCATCGGCAACTGGCCATGGTGCTGAACCCCTCCACTCCTAGAATTGCTGAATTGTAACATCAGATTATATAGGGGACACACACTGGAGAACTGTCACTAAAGGATGCACCGCTGGAGTGTCCATGGGATCTGGGAAGGGAAAAACTACCTCTTCATTGGCCTAGCACCATCCCTTAGCCCACTAACTTGGATTCTCAGATTCTTCTTCCCTTCTTCCTTCTCTCTCCCTCTTCCTCTCCTTCCTCCCTCCCTTCTGCCCTCTCTCTCCCTCCCTTCTTTCTTTCCCTCCCTCCCTCTCTCTCTGCCTCTTTCTCTCTCTTCCTCTCCCCTCCCTTCCTTCCCTCCCTCTCTCTCATTCTCTCACTCTTTCTGTCTCTCCCTCCCTCCCTCCCTCCTCCTTCCCTACCTCCCTCTCTGCCTCTCTTTCCCCCTCCCTCCCTTTCTTCACATCCCTTTCTTCCTTCCTTCTTTCCTTCCATTATTGATTCATTTATTTAAAAACTTAAAAAAAATAAAAGATAAGCATAAACCAATCAGAGAAAGACAATTATCATATGATTTCACTCATACGTGGAACTTAAGAAACAAAACAGATGAACATAGGGGAAGGGAGGGTAAAATAAAATAAGATACAATCAGAGAGGGAGACAAACCATAAGAGACTCTTAACTCTAGGAAACAAACAGAGGGTTGCTGGAGGGAAGGTGGGTGGGGGGATGGGGTAACTGGGGGATGGACATTAAGGAGGGCACATGATGTAATGGGCACTGGGTGTTATACACAACTGATGAATCACTAAACTTTACCTCTGAAACTAATAATACACTTTAAGTTAATTAATTGATTTTAAATAAAATTTTAAAAAAAGATAAACATGATCATGGAAAATATGAACTCTTTCCATTTTGGAAGCTGTGTGGCAACATGGAAAGAATATGAATTTTGTATAATATGTAAAATTTCATATAAATAATTAAGAAAAACATTTGAAAAAATGCCAAAATGTTAATAGGAGAAATGACTGAATTATAGGATTTCAGTTGACTTTTTTCTTTTCCTTCAGTATAATTACTTTTTTTTTTTCTTTCAGGTTTTCTAAAACTGACATATATTTTATAATCTGAAGAAAATAGTAAAAAATGATTAGATACAGCTACATTTTAATAGTGTCCATACCTAATACCTAGCTGTGTAAATTGAAAGAGTGATTTATCCTTTATGAGACTAATATTCCTTATAGGTAATTTGGGGCTAATATTTACTTACCTATTAGGGCTGCTTTGAGGATTGGATAGGATACTAACATATTGTGGATATTCAGTAAATATCAGGGCTTCATCATAGGAGAGAGAGAGAGTCTCATGAGGAGGTCAGGAGCACAGTTTTGGGGGTGAACAAGCCCAACAATAATAATGTGTGTTGTGTCAGGCCCTGATATTTGAGATGGAAACCCATTTTTTACTTTGTACTCATTTTACCTTGAGTACCTACATTAGGTGGGTGCTTTACTAACTTCTGGAGCTACAGCAATGAACAAATCTTGTCTTTCCCTTGTGCAACCTACATTACAGATTTTCTATTATAAGAAAAGCAAAGCAATTATCATCCTCCTTTCCCCTTAGTGCTTTCAGAGCTCTGCTGGCTCTTTCTGAGGTATGAAGGGCTAAAGAACTGATATGTGGCAGCATCTCTCTAGAGAAGAAACACGAAGATTGGTACTAATCTACAAGAAACCTGGGTGGCTGCTTCAAACAAGTAAGTACAGGGAACACTCAAATCCACAGCATTTCACTTTCCAAGCAGATGAAAAAGATGAAGAAATTCTCAAACTGCAGAATACTGAAAGATACTACTGAATCATTCACTAAATGAGGTTTTACTTTGTCACCACCATGATTAGAAATACAGTGAACGTGGAATCCGGGGGGAAAAAAAAAAAAAAACAACTTTTCTTTTCCATGTATCACAGCAAGGAGCAAGTCCTATTCATTTCATATACCATTTCTTTTTAATTTTTTTAATTTTATTATGTTATGTTAATCATCATACATTACATCATTAGTTTTTGATGTAGTGTTCCATGATTCATTGTTTGAGTATAACACGCAGTGCTCTCTTCAGTACATGTCCTCTTTAACACCCATCACCAGGCTAACCCATCCCCCCACTCCCCTCCCCTCTAGAACCCTCAGTTTGTTTTTCAGAGTCCATAGTCTTTCATGGTTCTTCTCCCCCACCCATTTCCCCCCCTTCATTTTTCCCTTCCTATTATCTTCTTCTTCTTCTTCTTTTTTTTTTAACATATAATGTATTATTTGTTTCAGAGGTATGGGCCTGTGATTCAACAGTCTTACACAATTCACAGCACTCACCATAGCACATACCCTCCCCAATGTCTATCACTCAGCCACCCCATCTCTCCCACCCTCCATCACTCCAGCAACCCTCAGTTTGTTTCCTGAGATTAAGAATTCCTCATATCTGTGAGATCATATGATACATGTCTTTTTCTGATTGATTTATTTCGCTCATATACCATTTCTTTTCAGGAAGACTGCCATATGGGACATTCAGATATTTTTTGTTGAATAAATGAGGAATATTAAGAGCTTCTCTTTTTGCTACTTCATTATGTTTACTTCTGACATAAATTATTCATTTATATTATTTTTGGTTTTCATGTCCATGCTCTGCAAGATAGTTATTCCTTAGCCCCAGATTATACATAAGTAAACAGAGACTTCTGGGTTATGTGACTTTCTCCATAACAAATAGCTAGCACATGTCTGCAATTAAAATAGATCTGATGCATGACCACACCTCCTCCTTTCCATCATGCAATACTGTGAGTGAAACTGGTTTACAACATTGGATTGTGTATGTTGGAGCAGAGCTTTGGAAGGGGAATGGCATATCTAATTGAGAATATAAATGGCAGTAATTGGCAGATTCAATGTAACTAGTAGAAGACACCTGTTCGGCTATTGACAAGTAACAGTAACTTCACTCACAATGCACAATGCTCTCTGAGCCATATGCAGTTGCAGGACTGCACTCCATTCATCCATATCCCCTTCCTGAAAATTGAAAGCCAGCTAATAAACTGATGCATTTTTCCTGAATATTTGTATGCTCACCCTTCAGATAATTCATTGATAAGTTGCTTCTTTAGGTATGTTAATACAATTAATCAAGTCATTAGCAAATCACCTTACTACTCTCTTCTGGATAAAATTCTGTTTCTAAAGATGCTTTTGATGTATATTTAATCTAATGCATTAGATGTCAATTTTATTAATTAAACTTGGGATTCCAGATGTTCTCTCTGCCAATATTCACCATGGTGGTTAAGAAGATACTCAGAAATGCCTCAAAATACTTACGTTGTTTGGCTTTTGAGGTGAGTCCACATTAAACTTCATTCTTATGTCTCTCCTTCTAATTGTGAAAATGTGTTTATCTGAGATTTTTTTTTCAGTTTTCCATGCAACTTAAATTTACAAACTCAATTCTGCTATGATTGTCTTTCTTTACTTTGATAGCAAATACTTAGTGACAATTCTCTTCCACAAGTACAATATTCACCCTTAATATAACAAATATCAATGAGAGGCAGGGAATCAATCTCATAAGGAATGGAACTTCCTTTTTCTTCAACTTGGGCGCTCTTTCTCTCTCTCTCTCTTTTGTTTCTTTTGCTGTGGAAGAGCTTTTTGGTTTGCCTTTGCGCCTTTGGGAATTCTGCCCCCTGCACTCAGCACTTGGTTCACTCTTCCTTCAAAAGTACCTTTGAGCATACAAAAGAGGCTGAGCCCTTCTCTCTCTTTCCCTGGGATAGGAAGTTGATTACAATGAAATTATAATGATGGCCTACCTGTGGTGAGGCAGGCCATGCTAGGTGTCCTAAATACACAGGAGGCAGGACATTGTACTAATTTAGCTGGTATTTGGTAAGTCTAGGGCTCAACCTGGCATAGCCAGGGCACTTAAAGGAAACAGTGTTTCCCTTAACAAGACATGGGAATGCCCAAAAACTTAGACTTTCCCACTATACATATGGCCCTTTCTCTCCTTAACCAAAATAATAATAATAATAATAACAACCAAAAAAATAAAAACAAAAAAATAAAATAAATGAATTAAAAAGTCTCTTCTCCATTTTTCTCTTGGGACTGAACTTTCATAAATGTACCAATCAGAATAGATTGTGATTCTATTCATTAAAATATGTGTGCATGTGTGTTAAACTTGCTCAAGTTAAATTGTATTAAAAGAGATAAACAGATAAATAGGTAGCTAGATAAATATATATGAGCTTATAGTGATCCCTACCTACCAATATTATCTTGTTTCAAAGAATGCTATCTATAGTTTAACTATTTCACAAATGTTTATTTTTTCTTCTCCAATATGTAAAAGGAGAAAATGTCACTTAGATTGTATTCCAGTGACCTCCACCTGACACACAAGAGCAATAAGAAACTGTGACCCACCACAAAATAGAATTCCTGATAGCTCAACGTGGAAAGGAACAAAACCAGACCCTACCCAAGTTGAGGTGCAGGGCGAGCCTCCCCTTCTGGAGCTCTAGCGTGATGTGGTCTCCACGTTGACCTTCTCCATGGAACAGAACCCCATCTCCTTGCATGCTCTTGAACTTCAGAGAGATCACATCTTTGAGAGTGCTCATCAGCTTCTGATTGAACCTATACAGAAGGGAGCTTCGGCCATCAAAGTCAGCAACATCTGATTCTGGGAACAGGGAGAGAAAGAGAGAAAGAGAGAGAGGGAGAGAGAGATCAGTGAATATCCTCATAATTGCTCTTACTGCTTCTCATCTTTGTTGTTCTCCAATTTATAGGAATGTTCTTAATATTTGGAAGGTCCCATCTCAACAGAAAGCATATGGACTAGACCAAACCTAATTAGACTTAGGGGGATTAAAACCTCTCATTAGTGATATGTCATATTTTGCTTGAGGGGACAGGGTAAGAATACCACAAGTACCTATGTCAGACTCTATGGTGCCAGATGCCTGGTAGTAATAATCTTTCATGATTTATCTTCATTATTAATTCACTTCTGAGAGTTGGAGCCACTTGATCCCCTAATCTCAGGTTCAAGGTTAGAGATGAAAAAATATAGTCTATTATTCCACACCTAACTGAATAGCACTGTCTTCATAGAACCTGTGTTGAGAAAGATTCTGAGGTCTTCTCTGAGTTCAGTGGAAAAGAATGTGCAGTAAAGGAAGACTGCTGTTTGTATAAGGAGGGCAAATACATGACATCCTTACCATCCCTGCCTTATCCTGTGTTAGTGATATATATCATTATATTTTTATATATAAAAATGTTCAATTGTTATTGTTAAAGCAGAAAAAAGAGAAAGTCAAGTAATCATGATCTAAACCAACTTATTTAGTGGATATGTATAAACATACCTGAAAATTTCATGCTAAAATATTAACAGAGATTCTCACCTCACCAAAGAATATATAGAGATGGCAAGTAAGTATATGAAAAGACGCTCCACATCATATGTTATTAAGAAAATGCAAATTAAAACAATAAGGAGATACCACTGTACACCTATTAAAATGGCCTAAATATGGAACACTGATAACAAGAAATGCTGGCTTGGGTGTAGAGTAACAGGAACTCTCATTCATTCATGGTAGGGAAACAAAATGGAGCAGCTGCTTTGGAAGACAATTTGGTGGTTTCTTACAAAACTAAACATACTCTTACCATACTATCCAGCAACCTCACTGCTTAGTATTTACACAAAGGAGTTGAAAACTTATGTTCACACAAAAATCTTCACATGGATGTTTATAACAGCTTTATTCATAATTGCCAAATCTTGGAAGCAACCAAGATGTCCTTTAGTAGGTGGATGTATAAATAAACTGGTACATCAAGACAGTGGAGTATTATTCAGCACTAAAAAGAAATGAGCTAGCAAGCCATGAAAATACATGAACAAAACTTAAATGGATATTACCAAGTAAAAGAAACAAATCTGAAAAGGCTACTATTTGATTCCAATGATACAATGTTCTAGAAAAGGCAAAATTATGGGCACAGTAAAAAGATCAGTGGTTGCCTGAGTTGGGGAAGGGAAGGATGAACTGATGGAGCACAGAGGATTTATAGGGCATGGGAAAAATGAAGGGGGGAAAATTGGAGGGAGAGACGAACTATGAGAGACTATGGACTCTGGGAAACAAACTGAGGGTTCTAGAGGGGAGGGGGTGGGGGGATGGGTTAGCTTGATGATGAGTATTAAAGAGGGTACGTATTGAATGCAGCACTGGGTGTTATATGCAAACAATGAATCATGGAATGCTACATCAAAAACTAATGATGTAATGTATGGTGATTAACATAACATAATAAAATTAAAAAAAAAGAAAAGACTCTGTATGATATAATGATGGAGATACCATGTCATTATATATTTGTCCAATAACATAAAATATACAACACCAGTGAACCATAATATAAATTATGAACTTTAGGTGATTATGATGTTATGGAACCTGGGCTGGATCGCCTGACAGAAGAATGAAGCGGCACCTGGAGATCTTGGAGGATAGGAGGTTTATTTAACACTGGCGGGCTCAGAGGAGAGTGATCTCCAAAGGTCTGAGCCCCTAGCACAAACAAAGGGGGCAATTTATACACTTCTACTTCCACATACTTGGCAGTTTTCGTGCCTGTGGGAAGTGGGGCAGGGAGAAGAACCCAGATTGGTGCACAGGGGAAGCGGGGCAGGGAGAGGAACCTGGAAGAGCCCTGAGGAAGGACTGGGACTCTCTCGCTGGCTCTGTGAGCCATTTTAGGACACAGATTTTCTTTTTCAATGATATGTCAGTGTAGGTTAATCAGCTGTAGTAAATTTTCCACTCTGGTGGGGGATGCTGATAATAAGGGAGGCTCTGCATATGGAAGCAGGGCCTATGCTGGAAATCTACATACCTAATTTTTCTGTGAATTTAAAACTGCTCTAAAAAAAGTAAGCTTTTACAAATCAGTTACTAGATACTCTATTTGGGAGGTGTTCTATGTTGTTTTCACATTATTTCTCCCATTTTTTAATTATAAAAACTTTTACAAAGAATTTTATTACTTTTACAATAGAGAAAATGTAAAGCTATTTAATATAACTTGAAACAGATTCATTACATACCATCTTATGTAGGTGGGACAGTGGTGAATGGGTATATGGAGGAAGCAGGATTAGTCTTATTTGAAATCAAGTACTCAGAAAAATCTCAATTTTTCAGTATTCATCAAGCAATTAAAATGCTCAGCTTGAACATACACAATGATAAGTTAAGTATATTATTTTGGCCAAGTTCAAGGTGCCCAAATTGAAACATTCTTTGTGAAGCCAAAATTCTGAAATGAAAGTAAAAATGAAATCATACTTTCACTGTAATTAGTTTTAAAATGCAATTTCACATTTATTCCTATGGAACAAAGTGATTCTAACCAAAAGGTTGCTGATGACTCTTTAGACCCTAAAAAGAAATAGTCCAGATACAGAGAGGTTTTCACCAATTCCCACTTCCCTTAGGCCCTTCCCATACCACCCACTCACTACTCCTACACATGCCCCCTGAATTCAACTCCTACCCAACCAAATGGAGGCTACAGACAACAACTTGTGATCAATCATGGAATAATGAGGGTCATAGTGTAGATAAGGTCATGGATTTTAAATTATGGTAGTCATAGCTTGTTAGCTGATTCACTTTGGGCAACTCTATCTCTTTGAGACTTGATTTCCTCATCTGTAAAACGGAGGAATTAACAGCCTTTAGAGAAGACTGTGGTAAGAGTTAAGTCTGATGACACATAAAAAGTGATAATACATACAAAGTGATGCCATTATGTCTGGCACATTGTGTTAAATCAATAATAGATGGTAGGGGTATTAGTAGTGATTGAGGTAACTGGAGGGACTTGAGTTCCTAACCAGTACAACCTGGTGGCTGACACTCCACCTTCTCACCCAGAATGGTGTGATTTCACTTTTTGATTCAATGGATTACTGCCCAGGGAACGCCAAGTGTGCCCCAACTTTCATTTTCCGCCATATTTCAGCTTATTACACTCTAGTTGAAATTCTTTGTGTGTGCAGGGTGCATACATTATAAATCTATGTTCTCTTCTTATTGTTCCCTTCTGTTACTGCACCAGACTCTAGGTTAGGAACTGGGTCCTTAGGAACTTTGGTGTTGAACGAGTAGACATGACACATATTATTTATGGACAGCCAAGCTAATACGACTTTTGAGCTAAAACTAGAGGGCACACCCAGTGCTTTGGAAACAGAGAGCTGAAACACTATATTGTCTATGAGTGTGGGACAAATGCTTTCATGAAAAATACGGAATGTGTTATTGCTTTGAAGACATACCTCATGCCTTATGTCTCAGCCTACACTGCCCAGGCTCTTCCTCTCTCCACTCCAGGGCCCTACACCCCCCTCTCCTGATCCATCATGGCATTAATGACCTACATTTCATTCCCTCAAATGTCTAGCTAATCTAGTGACTTAGTGAAGTGTTGATGACCTAGGTTACCTCCAAGAAAATACATCTCCATATTGCCATGAAACCTAAAGCTAACAGAAGCAATCAACAAACAAAAACAACAAAAACATTGTTGAAGTCTAACAGCTCCAGGTTTCCGTTATGGTCTTGCTATTTACTAGCTGGAGGACTTGTGGCAACATTCTTGACTTCTTTGGGCTTCAGTATTCCTATCTGTGCAGTAGAGCTAAGAGAAGCTCACCCTACAAAGTCGTGGTGAGAATTACATAAACCATACCTGGAAATGTAGAATCACTCAGTATTCCACCCCCCTCCATCCATTATTAATCCAAAGGCATTACTACAGTGGTAAAGATTTGTGCATTGCCATATAAAGATGATATGAAGAACATAGTCTGATTTGGTGTCTGTCATATAACACTGAGCAGGTATGCATTCAAGCCTACATCATCACTTGCCACATTCTTAAAATAGCCTCATAACTGCCCTCCTTGATTCAACGTTTGCTACCTCCCTCTGACCCATTCTCTCATCCTCATAAAACATAAGTAACATCACACATGGCCTTCGCTAAAGCCCTTCAGTGAACTCCCTTTACACTAAGAATTATATTCTCTCTCCCGTGATCTGGCTTTTTGCTTTCCCATCTCATCTTTTACTTCCGTCCCCAAACCCTGACTCCCCTTTATGCACAGTGTGCTTTCAACGTGTGTGCATGTGCAATGTGGGGGTTAATCCAGATAACATATGCAGAGCACATATCAGGAGCCCTGTAATGGTGTAATTTTTTTTCCACATGTGAACTTACTTAATGTCAATCAACTTATGAGGAACATACTATTATTATTCCAATTTTGCAAATGACGAAACTATGGTTCAAAGAGATGAAGAAGTATGAAGTTAGCAACTGTCAGAGCCTGGATTCCAACCTGTCCCATCTGATTTAACCTGTTCTGTGTGTGCTGAGCACTTTCACAAGGGCTGCCCCCTTTCTCATGAGGATCTGATGTTCAGCTGTCAGGCAGGTGGTTGGCCTTTCCTAACAGGTTCCTCCCATTAGCTAGTCTCCCCTAAACAACCTGCTACTTCCTTCATAATTCACCTCCCAACTCCCAAGAATTTGATTCTTGGTTGTTTCCCGATGTGTTCATAGTCCAGCTCTCCAGCATGATAGCGACTCCCACGA